TTAAAGTCTTGTGCTCCTGGCAAAGGAGAAAGAAAGAACATTAACTCAAATCATATGAATTTTGTAGAAAACTATTTAACAAGCACAAAGAGATGACATATAAAACTTGTTTCTTTGTTAAAGTTACAGCATTCGCTCTTTTAATTAAGTGTTCAATCAGAAAGTATGTAAATATTTGTTAAATGATATGGAGTTTCTAAACATTTTTAAGAGGAGGCAAGAGTTGAAACTGTGAAAAAGAGAATTGAAAAAACTAGTGAGAATGAAGTTATTCTAGCTCAATTGGCCAAGGCTGTAGAGATGAGTAGAAATTCATTAGATAAGGTTTTGTGTGATGGCAGAGAAGCTCAGGAAAGAATCACAAGATGCTACAGAAACTTGTAATTTCTATTGCATCTTCTTATCAAGGCAAAGGGCTGAGCTTGGAAGATCTGATCTAGGTTCCTTTATATTTATTTCATTCTTTAGTCAGTAGTCATCTTCAATTATTTTTTAAAAAAGCTTTGTCTCTATGTACTGTAGGAAGGAAATCTTGGGCTTCTTCATGGTGCAAAGAATAAGCTATCAACACATGTTTACTGGTGGATTAGGCAAGCTATCACTAGACCGATAGCAAAGAAGTCTAAAATTACTCGGCTGCGAGTAAGAAAATATGTACTATTAAATTCTTTGTTCTTCTATAGGTTCATCTGACCAATTAAATTTGTTCAGCTACTACCCTGCTATTCAACGTCACTCATTAATCGATCTTAAAGTTTGTTCTAGTCCGTTTGAAACAATCATAGTCTTCAATTCGATGTACACAGTTTCTAGCTTTTGCTAAAGCTTTAGTTTGCCTTTCCTCTTTTCAGGTTCCTTTTTTCTGTTTATTTACTATGAAATAAAGGTCAATACTCGTGATAACATGGCAAGCCAGTTGAGTAACATTACAGATTCATGTAAAGCATTCTTTGCCTGGTTTTTCCTTGCATTGATATAGTCTATTTGCACAATCATACTTACTGGAAAATCAGTAGCATACACGAGCACATTCCCTAAATTTATCATGGTGCATGTTGTTGTTGACCATAGATATCCAAGATCATTTTGTTCTTGCCTGAATTGAGTGCAACAATTTGTAGTGTATATGACATTGAAAAGAAAGTTTGTAATTGGTGAATGCAATTAGCCTATCCTGTATAGGGAAGTGTAAGTGAACTGGTCCCAAGGATATGCGAGGCAAATGTTGTCTTAAGTAAGAGGCTACGAAAGCTGCCAACATGCCAAGAAATTGCAGAAGCAGTTAAAAGGGACATTTTGACTGTGGGGCTTGCTCCTGAAAGAAACAGAGAGCTAATTTCCCTAGATCAACTAACAGAAAGCATAATATGTAAGTCAGGAACCTAACTCTGATTCAAAAACTTAAACTATTAGGTTTCGGATCCTTACTTATATTTACAACTCTTTTGGTATCTCTTGAATTAATGTGGGACATAATCCTTTACTTATGAACCTAACAAATATTCCTCTTCATGAGCAACCCCTCGCATTAAACTCAAATTTACAAGCCCTTTTTCGAACTCACTTTAATACTCAACACAAGTTCATCTTATCACTTAAGGTCATCTCTTCTGCCAAACATCGACCACTCTTTTTTAACATTCAAATTGCATTCTGGACCCCTGACAACCTTTGATTTCTTGGTCTAATACCAACCAGACCCTCTACCAAATCCATGGCGCATTTAGTCTAACACTAGCAAAACTCCTTAGCACTTTGGTCCACTATCAAGAAGAGAATTTTTACCGGTTCAACTCCTAAAAGAATTAACTTGTCCATGAGTAGCCCAATTTTGTAACCTGAAAGTCTGATACCACTTGTTAGGATCCAAATTTGGAACACACAACTATTAAGACATTAAACGCACAACAATTTAATGACAAACAAATTACAAATATGAAAGATAAGCGACACATGATATTTAACGTGATTCACCTCCACTATTGAATTTACATCCACAAAGAGAAACCTGTTCTTTTTTATGAGAGAAAAATCCTATACAAAAATATACTTGAACCTAAATTCAATCATATATACCATCTCTTATTTTCTAAGAATCATCTCTCACACCCTATATATAAGGTTACATGTCGCTCTTGTGCGTGCCTTGTGTAGTATGTCAACTTACCTATTTATAGATAACATTATTTGGCCAAAAAATCAAATAACAATAGGAAAACAATGCTAATTCCTAAATTGGTTCAGAATAGGAAATAACTCCTATTCCTAAACTCATATAAATAGGAAATTTCTTAACCACTATTTTAAATAACTAAAACTAATTAGAAAACTAGTTAGTTCCACACAAAATAAGAAACTTGTCTAAAACAATTTAAGCTAATTTTCTAACAAATTTTCATCTTGGCGAAAATTTCTTTTAGCAACCATTTGTTTTCAACTACCAAATAATGTGGTACCTAATGATACACCCAAATCAATACAGTTCTGATACTAAATTAATTCAATTGACAAATGAGCATGTGTAGTTATCCCGAGTCTAATCTCTTGTTGACTCGTGAGAAATTGTCTCAATTCATCATCTCTTTTTGTAGGATTTTTTTTCACCATCACTTGCAATTTGGGATCTCCTTCTGTGAGGTCCAACTCTAATCATTGAGGCAATCAAATGGAAAAATCATCATATTTCTTCACATCCTCAAGATTGTCTTGCCACGTGTAGTTTAAAAAATTCCACCTAAAACGAAAAATTCGTAAGTATCAAAGTCTTCTAGCACATGAAAATTAGATCTCTTTATTTTATTAGGACATGTGCCTCACCACCTAAAGAATATAATTCGAATCTAATAATCATTCGAGATGAAGTATCAACTGATGGAGTTATGAGAAATCTCTACCAATTCACGTTCAAAATCAACATTGGATTTCACCTTTTTTTTTTACCCTTGAATCACCAACCTAAATTCACCGTCAAGTATCTCCATGCTTTTGGACTTTCTATCCTTCACCTTCAATACTTCTTACCAAACTCTTGAAACAAATATATCACCCATTAAATTGTTCAATTAGTAATAGTTACTAACCCACTTGATCTCAATAGTTAACTAGGATCCAATCATTTGTTAGGGAGAAACATCTCGGGAGAACTTATCAAAGAGTCCATTATGTAAGTCAGAAATCCAATTCTGATCCAAAAATTTAAACTATTAGATTTCGATCCCTTACTTATATATTAACCGCTCTTTTTTTATCTCTCAAACCAATGTAAGACATAATTTTTTACTGATGAACCTAACACAAGAAGTTGCAATTTTCTCCTTCAAAGTCATGATGGTTAGGCGACTGCCTTGCAAGGAATGTTTTAAAATGTGTTTTGTAAGTAAAATCAGAATGAATCATCAAAACTGACTCAAAGTTCAAGACCAAATCACATTTAAAAAGAACCAGACTCATATGAATAGAACATAGCACATAACATTGGGTACCAGACTAGCGTAAAAGAATGAGGCAACCTGATATGACAAATTGATTCTCGAAATAAAAACCATTTAACCACATAGTCAAAAGATTGAAGACATCTTAACTATTCCTGAAGCAGCCTACAATACAATTCACTCCTTTCTCTGAAAAGGAGTACGGTTCTTTACAAGACTGCAGAACTTAAAGTTGCAATAGCAAACGGATTCGTTCCTTGTCATAGATGAAGGATTAGATCCTTATTGTCCTGATTCTCTCATTTCCTTCTTATATCCTCTACTGAAGAAATGCTAGAGAAAAGGTTGCCAATAAATGCTTAAAAGGAAATTAAAGACCTTCCAGATCTGAAAGTAACAGTGAAGCAATAACTTGCAACTGACAAATTTTTTCTTACATTAGCAGAGATAATCTTACCTAGTCAAACAGGGATCAGAAAGCTAGATAACATTATACTATCATTGGATTCCTTTGAAAAGAAAAGATTAACGAGACAGCCATAGCCTTTCAAGAAAATGCTTAATGGTTTAGAATCCCATTAAGTAGCAGCCATCAACGTTCATCCACAGATTCCTGGTGTCCTTTACAAGAGTATGGAAATTATTGTTTCCTTGTTGATTCTTACTGCTCCATTTCTCCCTTACCCCCTCTTCATCAGGACACACCAATTTTAAGTATATTTTGGTTCAAATTATCCGAGTGCAACTATGAGTGGTATCTGTTTATAAGCTTTTGAATTTCAATGGTTGTGCAGGAGATTGTAGCTGGGCCAGATGAAACAACTCCAAAGCAATGGTGAAGAAACAGTTCATGAAGAGGGACATAGAGAAACTGCTCAAGGGACTATGTGGTAGAGAAGTAAATATCTTAAGACTGTACTATGGCCTAAATGGGAATACTCCTCAATCATTCGAGGAGATAGGAAGACACCTAAAACTTTCAAGAGTGCGAGTACGGCAGCTCAGTTACACTGCCTTAACAAAATTCCGTGAGAGTGAGACTAGTATGGTAAATGATTTGAAAGCATATATATTGCATAGCTGAATCGGCGGACTACATATATGACATAATAAAGAACTAAATTGGCAGAAATTGTGGTTCTGCAGTTATTCCTTGAAGAGAACTCAATAGCATTACTTGAAACAAACCAAAAACCAAATTGACCAAAGTGGATTTCTTTTCTCAAAATGGTGGTATCCACTCTTATTTATTGTACCCATCTAGCAGTAAGCATGATCTTTATCCATCGCTGTTTCATTTATGAGATAGTAGCTGGTAAATAACCAGAACAGCCTAAAGCCTAAAGTGAAGGTTTCCTAACCAACAAGCGAACTGCATTTACTGCAATGAGCAGGAATACGTGCATTAGGCTAGCTGTGATAATCAAATCATTTGTCTTCCACTTTGTGATGTTGGCTACATCTTTACTAAATGCACGACAATGACGAAGATTTGCCTGATATAAATATTCCATCTTGAGCTATTCATACAAGTAAAATGGTAGCCGGAGGATTTTGCCTTTTCAGATCAGACAGGGAAAAGAAAATGCATGTACTTTCTCAGAAATAGTTTCATGTATAAATTATAACTGTCTAATTTCACCTCTAAACAAATTTACGTCAGAAATTTTATTCTAGCATCTTGTACGTGGAAGAGATCTCCCACGTGTCAATACTTAAACACTCTTGTATGTGTTTGAAGCTGCAGAAAGCTTCTGAACAATGGTTTCAAATTAGTCAAAAAGTAACTCCTCTTTCGTCATTCTCTTTCCCCAGCACAGACATCCAAATGATAAACCAGAGGAGTTATCCAAATTACTCTTCCCCTTCTTCACTCTCCCGACGGACTGCATCAAATTGATTTATTAAAAGGTCTACAACCAAGGGTACCAAATCATCACATGGAACTCCCTTCTTATAAACTTCTCCTAAATGTGAATCACTGCCAATTCTCCCTCCCAAGAAGACATCCGCACCTTCGACTGGCTTTCCATTTTTATCTCTTGTCATGCATCCCATGAATCCAATATCTGCAACTTGAACCTGTCCACAGGAATTTGGGCAGCCAGTCCAGTGCATTCTTACAGGCCGAGTGACGGAAACTTGGCGGTGAACCTCCTCCGTGATCTTCAGTGCACGAGCTTTAGTCTCTATTATTGCCTGCCCACAGAATTGATTGCCAGTACAAGCTACCAAACCTCTCATGAGAATAGGTGGTTCTGGAGAAAACCTGTTCTTTAAAAGAGGCTCTTTGAGCAATGCCTCAAGCTTTGCATTCTCAATGTTGGGAATTATGATATTCTGTTCCACAGTTAGTCGGAGTTCACCTGAGCCATACTCATCAGCTAAACGAGCAAGCTCGTCCATGTCATCTGCTTGGACACGACCTACTGGTATATGAAGACCTATGAAGCTACAGCCTTCCTGTTTCTGTGGATGGATACCAAGATAATCTCTCCTCTCCCATTGCTTTTGAACCAGGTCTTCAGATGATGCTCTCTCTAGCTCTTGTTGGGGAATCCTCTGAACAACCTCAGACCTGAAACCTTCTATTCCCTGCAAGATTGACATGGACAAATTCGAATAAGCTAAAATAATTTCATGTCCTCTGATCTGTTCAGCAAAATTTGCATTTAACTGCAGTAACTTATTAATGATGTTCTGAATGAAAAGAGAATGAAATGCTCACAAGTTCATCAATCAACCACATCATTCTTGTTTTCTGCCTGTTCCCTCTCGTACCAAGATCTCTGAAAGTTTCCAGTATTGCTTTACAAACCGGTATTATATCATCTCCTGGAACCCATGCATCAAGAGGAATTGCGTCTGCACAACGTTTGGGGCTAAAAAATCCACCCACCAGTAAATTGAATCCAAATCTTCCATTTTTAGTGGCAGGCATATAGGCAAGATCATTTATGTGAGGGTGCTCGTAAAGATCATGAGAGCCAATTACGCATACATTCCACTTCCTTGGCCTGCATAAATAGCATAAGTTACTAAGTTAAAACTTATTGATGAAATTCAGTGAAACTTTTGTCGATAAATAACGGTATGCTGTAAATTTTTTCAACTTTCTATTACGATGTCATCTCCTTCATAATGTTGGTAAATTCACCAGAGGCATTAAAAATTATAAAGAATGTCTAAAAATTGGGGGGAAAAAGGGAAAAACCACTGTGCTGAGACAATATATTTATCAGAACCAAGCAACGAGATCTTCACTAACACACTTATTACCTTTCCGTAACAAAGGGAGCTAGCTAGCACAGAAAAACTTACAAATTACTGATGCTTGGATTTCCACGGGAATTTGCAGTTACAAACTGAGAGAGCAAGTTAGTATAAGGCCTTGTGTCAACAATTTCTTCAGGATCAATCCCTGCAAGAGGGTTACCAACTGGATTCCTTACATTGTCCATTCCACTCTGTAGGCTTGTCAAGCCAACTTCTTCCAGTCCTTTCAAAATCTCTGGTACATCCGGGAGAACAACACCTCGAATTTGCCAATTCTGCCTTGTTGTAACATCAGCACACCCCTCCTTCCCATATTTCCTTATCACACTTGCCAGATATCGAGTTTGGGCACTAGTTGTTACACCATTTGGCAGCTTCAATCTCATCATGAACCGACCATCTAGTGATCACAAGTCACAAACAGCAAATTAGGATTAAGTGTATAATGCAATTAACATTTGAAATATGAAGAAAGGTATATGTGGTGGACAAATCTTTCTTACAAATATATAACGTGGTTTCAACTCCAAGACTCTCATAGATCCCATTTTTCAGGCCCTATGAACATCCATTCCACTGTAAAAGAAATATAACATTCCTCTGTTTTCAGGTGTGCATATATGGTTGAGGCAAGCCAAAGGCAGCAATCCTAATCGGGTATGACCTCATCCAACAGTATGGGATTCTAGTCATAGTGCATTTCACATACAAAGACCAGCTGCAGCTGAATATTCATCACCCTATTCAACATATTATATGATTTAATCAAATATGCATTGTTAGGTGTCTGTTTGCAAGTCTGCAACTTCAATCTAGACAACTTAGTCTAGTTTTTTATACATGGACAATCTAGTCAAACTGAAGAGATCACTCCAGGGACAATTCTACCAAAATCATATGAACATCTTCTTCCAGTATAATGAGCTAGAAGCCTAGAACTAGACTAATGTAGTGAAAGATGACATATAGCTCCCTAACTAATCACACAACAAATGTTACCAAACATTGACATATAAAAAATGCAAGGAGAGCTAATTTTCTGACTACAATCCAATCAAAGGCAGAAAAATTTAAATAGAAAATCACTTAACCGATTCATGATATCTATTAACCATCCACTCATCACAAAACGCATGTCATTAATTATTTAGAACATAAATCGACTGATCTGTGACAAAAGTATGTATTTCCTTAGCACATCCTAAAAAAACTTTTCAGACTTACAATGGTGCTTCCTCCTATGGAACAGACCAAGCCACTTGAGTCTCACATCAATATCATCCTTAGTAAGCTTGGATTTATCAATTTCTTCAAGTGGGATGTTAGCAAGCTCTTGAATTCCATTCTCCATGAACAACCTCATAGGCTCCTTCTCAATCTTGACTTTCTCCGGAGGATTTATACCTTGTCTGTATTTCTCCTTTAGCACCCAATATCCTTCTCTTTCCTCTACTCTAGGCTCCAGCCTCAGAGCATCAACATCTGCTGCCCCCCCTGATGATGATGCTGGTGGTGCAACAGTCTGAGATGCTGGTGGAGTTGCATGAAGCCTAAAAGTCTTAGAGTTTGGCAATGGATTTGGTGCCAAGAATTTAACTGAAAGTGATGCCATTCTTCCAAAACTGCAAGAAATTCTTCAGGGTTGGTGGGATCGGTGGTGGAAACGGCGAAGAGTTGGAGGAAGTAGAGAATGAGGTGAGACCATTTGTAGGGGATGAATATGTGACAATGGTTTCCAGTGGACTCTTGGTAGCTGCTAAAGGTCGTTTTGGCCTCTAGCACATAGGTTGTTTACAGCCTGAAACGATGGACTTCTTGTACCCTTTCCGCTAAGGTTACCGACCGATGGTGATTAATGCACTTTTTTTTTTTTTTTTTATCCAAAACAAGAGAAGGTTGAGACTTACAACAAAATAGAGAAAGAGGGGAGGAATTTGAATATGAAACCTCTAATTTTTGAAATTTTAATTTTAATCATTAGATTAAGGTTTCACAGGTGATAAATGTATATTTAAAAATGTGTTAACATTAAATAAATATAATACATTTGTAGGAATTTATTTTACATTTGCACGGTAAATGTATATAAAGGATTAAGTAAAATAGGTTTAGATTAGTGGGTAGTCATTTAGATAAGTTCTTAATTATTTAATGGAAAATGATAGTGTTAAATGGTAGGCGGTGAGGACTGAGGAAGGAATAACCGGACAGGTTTAAATAACGCGCAAGTAGTAAATTGAATGGCAGTGGGTTAGTGTACAGTTGTCGAGATAATACAGTTCCTTTAAAGTATATGATGAATTAAGTAACATCAAATCATGATTTGTTAGGGGAAAGAGTAGGTTTGTTAGCAAGATGATTAGGCGTAGCTCCAGAAACCACAGGTTATTTCTAACATCATGTTCAATTGATTAAGATTAGACCAAGATTATCAAACATATCTCAGTTATGTGATATTGTTACAGAAATCTGTCTCATTATTATAGATTATCAAGTCCACAAGTGTAATTTCTTTTACCACACACAAAAAAAAAAAAAGAAAAAGGAAAAGTTCTGAGACCATTGCCCGAGTTGATTTTTATTTTAAACTTGTACTTCTAACTTTTAATTAGAAAAACAAATCAAAAAGCTGCCCATGTACTTATCTTTCTTCTAATACATAGGGTCTATTCGAGTTGAAATTCGGATAGAAGATTATTTGAGAATTTTTTTTTTGAAATACTACAGTATTGGAACACATTTTATAATATAACGTACATGAAATAGAAAAGTAGTTAAAAAGACTAAACGGTAAAGAAAATGTATTTATGTTGTAAGTACAAAAAAAATTTGTAATAAAAAGCTATCCAAACACTTCCAATATTATTCAAACTCTACACTTTTGTTTTTATTTTTAATATATTGAGACCATTTTACTTATACAATCATCAAGGATATAACAAAAAAAATTTAAAATGTGATTGTCACGTAGTACTCCAACTTCAGTCTTATGTATTGTGTATATAGATTTTTTTTGGTACACAAGAGGTGTAACATATTGTAAGTAGCTCAATTAAGGGAAATTGCTAAAGTAATCTTTAACAGTTTGAGGCCCCCACAGGGTAGCTCGAGCGGTCCGCTCCCCCTCTTTAGAGTATGGCGATTTTTCTGACAACCAGGATTCGAGTCCCGCTGTTCTCTCCATTCGGGGGTGAGTGGGATTAGTCGGTCAATCGTAAGAATTGATCCGGACACCCACTCCATCAGAAAAAAAAAACTTTCACAGTTTGAGAGCATTTTAATTTAGTTCCCAACATATAAAACAAAGTATTTTCGTTGTTGACAAAAAATTAAGACAAAGTGGTCCATATTTCATTTGTAGTTGTTTTGTTTATATATACACACACATTATATATTTCGAAAACGTATCTATTATTTTAGCCACTTAGGGGATCATATTAAGGTCCATTTTTTTTTAATGAAGTACCTCAAAATTTGGAAACTATGGTCCCTTTTCTTGAAGTCGTCGATCGAGGAATAATTAGAGCATAATGTAAAGTTATAAACAAGTAGCTTAGTTAGGAAAGATTTCACAAACTTTTACTAGATCAAATAATGCAAATTTTGTTATCATTGTTGATTGTACTCTTAGGATGAGCTTTATGAATTGAGAAATTAAATTATCAGGAAAATGGATTAGAATGAAGTTTAGCAAATAAGGAGGGTAAAAAAAAAGACAAATTATTTTAACCACAAATAATTACCTGATAAAAGAGAGATCGATATAATTTCATAGCCTCTACAACTATTTCGAATTATGGTGACGTTTTGGCCTCCAGGCATAGCCAAAGGCCAAGCGGACAATCACCGCCGCCAACTCGATCACTACGACCATTCCACCGCATTGCAAGCGGCCTAAAGAGTGGTTGAAAAGGCCAGATCATGTGGCGGCTGGGTACCGTAAGCTTTTAAGCCACAGAGTTCGACGGATTTTGTCACATATTAGCTGCAAACTCAATTTGTTCCTTTTTTTAAAAAAAAAAAAAAACATTCCCACTCCCCTGCGTCTTTCTCGTCAAAATTGCCGATTACAAAATTCGAATCTTATACTTGATACAAAAATTTTCAAGAGTTCTCTTCTAACAGAATTTCGACCCAGTTGTTTTCAAACTCAATTTGCTAATTATCTATCAAATGGAATGATTTCTTTACAAGCTCAAGTTACAAGTTGAATTTTTTTTTTTTTTTTTTTTTTGTGTTTGAGTAATGGTTAATTGATTAAGGTAAATTTTGTCACTAGTCCTATTAACATCGTGCTTAAAGTTTGCCTATAATTAATGTTTTCTTTTTGCCTATAATTATCTTAGAAATAAAATGATTTTTTTTACTAAAGAAAGAGTGGAAACGGATACAAGTTGACAAATTCAATTTTGTTTTGAACGAGAGTTAATTGATTATGTGTAATTTGTCACTAGTCAACATAATGATTACAAGTTGGAAAGTTAAATTTTGTTTTGAATAAGAGTTAATTGATTATGTGTAATAATTTACTAGTCAACATCGTACCACTTAATTTTTCTTTTTTATCTCATACTACTATTTCCGCGTTAATTTTTACGTTTGTGATTGCTCGCAATGGGACTATTGTTCGAGTACCTGAGTTGCTACCAGAAGTATTAATGATGCACACCGGTGATTCTTGGCAAACGCATTTTATTGTTATTTTTTTTAATTTCCAAAATGCAAACGCATTCTACTGTTTTTTTTTTTAATTTCCAAAATGCCAGTCAACTGTGCCCCTTCTCTTTTCTTTTTTTGGGGTTAAGTAAGATAGTATGAACTCTCCCTACTTTTTTTTTTTGGGTTAAGTAACAAAATATGAACTCTCGTTCCGGCCTGTTTGATAACCTAATTCAGCACTTAAATTTAATGAATTCAAATCTTAACATATTCAAATCATTTGATAACCAAAAATTGAACATCTAAACTAATTAAGTGGCACTGAATTTTCTAAGCAAAACTTGCTTTCAAAGTTAAGTGATAAACTATTCACTCATCACTGAACGTGATATGCACTCAAATGTATTAAATTTAGGAATATTATCACTTTATGCCTTTAAACTATATCGCTACCATTAGTTTACTCCCTAAGTTATCTTTTAGTCACTTTATCTCTATAAATAATTCAACTCAATATGTTAAGAAATTTTGGACAAAAATACCCTTTTATTCTATAGCATTACTACATTATTATTATCACTTTATCCCTTTTTATTATAATGATATAATCACTTTAATCCCTAACATTATTGTTTAGGTATTTTACCTCATTGTTAATCTAACTAGTATGGTAAAACAAATTTAAATGTATTTACCCTTTATATATATATAATTATAATTAAAAAAATTACAATAGTTATTCTACCCTTTTTCATTTTAAGAGATCCAAAAATATAAAAATAAAAGAATTTTCTCAAATTTTTGTTTTTCACACTTATTAATACTAGAAAATGGAAAATAGATAGGAAAGAAGGAGACAAAAAAAATTAGATTTTACAAAAAAAAAAAAGAAAACAAAGAAGAGTCTAACATTGTCGTATTATTTTAAAGTTGTCGGGATTAGAATTGGAATTGAGTGATAAACAGAAAAGTAAAATAATTTAAAATAATAAAAATATTTAATTCTTTCTTATTTGTATTTTTAAAAAAAAAAGAATTGAGCTCTCTCTCTCTCTCTCTCTCTCTCCCTCCCTCCCTCCCCCCCTCTCTCTATTTTTTTTCAATATTGATAAGATTGTCAAGAAATAAGAGATTAATATTTTGACTTTTTTTTTTCTTGATACTAAAAAGGAGAAAAGCTACTCTAAATTTTCTATTGTTTTTATTACACAAAGAGGATGGTACTTTCTTCTAAAGTTTTTTAACTTGTTAAGTTGGTTTAACGGTGAGATAAATTGTTTAAAAAATAACTTTAGGGGGTAAATTGATAATGAGACTATAGTTTATAGGGGTAAAGTAATAATAATTTTAAGAGCTAAACATGTTTTTTTATTTTAATTAACAAATTTCGTTAAGTTTAACCGTTAATTTTGGAGGTAAAGTAACTAAAATGTAACATTGATGGAGAAATTAACAGTGACACTAAATGTTAAGGGAGTAAAGTGATAATAACTCTTAAATTTAATATTTAACAATTTAATAATTTAGTGAATTCAGATTTCAAATTTTAGATTTCAAATTTTAAACTTCAATTTTATCAAATGCATTCCTTAATTTTACTACGAGGATGAGCTGGTGCACATGATGAGCTGGTGCACATTAGGAAACAATGGCACACCACCAAGTGTATGTCTAGTTTCTGCTGGATACAAAGTGGAATATTTCATTCTTTGCTTTATGTTTCATCCTCTGGGACCCCGCATAGGAAAATATCATGCAGAGAGTATAAATGATATATCTTCAAAAACCTTTGGACAATATTTTCTGCATCCTCTCAGTCTATCCAAAAACAGAGCTCTCGCTTCAAAGTTTCATGGCGATCAGTGGATGCTCATCTACAAACCATTCATCAACTCTTCCCACTATATCCTTCTCTTACTATAGTCCAACTAAATCATGTCATCAAGTTTTCAACAATCTGCATCTTCCTCCAAGTCATTCTTCCTCTAAGCATGCTCTGAAGTCAACTCCTGAGGCTACATTTGCCACTTCTACAGCTACTCATGAGGGCGTGACACTCACCATTGATGCTGCTAAGGCTGCAAGAGCTGCGGTTGCTTCCGCATTTGAAATTGAGAACTTCTT